GCAGAACCTCACCCTCGATCTGGAGAGAGCAATCCACCCTTTTCCGGTTGGGGACCATGGCCTCAGATTTGGAGATGCTGATTCTCATCCCAGCCGCTTCACACTCGGCTGCGAACTGCTCCAGTGAGAGCTGAATATCACGGCACAATGATGACAACAGGACCACATCATCTGCAAAGAACAGAGATGGAATCCTGAGGCCACCAAACTGGAAACACTCCACCCACTGGCTGCACTGAGAAATTCTGTCCATAAAAGTTATGAACAGAATCGGTGACAACGGGCAGCCCCGGCAGAGTCCAACTCCCACCCTGAAGTGGTCCGACTTACTGCCAGCAATGCGAACCAAGTTCTCGCACAGCTTGTATAGGGACTGAACAGCCCGTAGTAATGGGCCCCAAATCTTATATTCACGGAGCACCCCCACAGTGTACCCCGAGGAACACAGTCGAAAGCCTTCTCCAAATCCACAAAACACATGTAGGCAGGATGGACAAACTCCCATGATCCCTCGAGGACCCTAGTGAGGGTAAAGAGCTGATCCAGTGTTCCATGGCCAGGACAGAACCCACATTGTTCCTTCTGGATCTGAGGTTCGACCAACGATTGGACTCGCTTCTCCAGTACCCCTGACTATACCTTACCAGGGAGGCTGAGGAGAGTGATGCCCCTATAATTGAAGCACATCCTCCGTTCCCCTTTTTGAAGATGGGAACCACCATCCCAGTCTGCCAATCCAATGGCACTGCCCCTGATGCCCACGTGACATTGCAAAGGCGTGTCAACCAAGACAGCCCCACAACATTCAGAGCCTTAAGAAAATCAGGGTGAAACTCATCCACTCCCGGAGCCGCCTCGGAGCTTTTTAACTACCTCGGTGATCTCAGCCATGATTATGGACAGATCAACCCCAAAGTCCCCCGACTCAGCTTCCTCCATGGAAGACGTGCTGGTGGGATTGAGAAGGTCTGAGAAGTATTCCTTCCACCTCCGGACAACATCACTCGTTGAGGTCAACAGCAGCCCACCTGTACTGAATACAGTGTTAGTAAAGTGCTGCTTTCCCCTCCTCAGCTGTCTGATGGTTTGCCAGTATCTCCTCGGAACCAACTGAGATCTTTATCCAAGGTCTCACCGAACTCCTCCCACATCCAAGCTTTTGCCTCAGAAACAGCCAAGGTTGCACACCGCTTGGCCTTCCGGTACTCCTCAGCTGCCTCTGGAGTCCCACTGGCCAACAACGCCTGATAGGACTCCTTCTTCAGCTTGACAGCCTCCATAACCCGGGGTATAAATACAAGAATAACTGTAATGTTCTACTAGAGGACAAGAATAACTGTAATATCCTACTAGAGGACAAACTGACCTAATTTCCTTAAATGAATTGTTAAAATTGAATAGTTTTCATTTGATACTATTTCTATCTTAACATGTGATTCTTGCCCTGCCATTGTGTATCTGTTCCTACCAAACCCAGCCGGTTGAAGCAGATGGTCCTCTTGTCCTGATCCTGGTTCTGCTAAAGGTTTCTTCTTCCTGAGGGAGTTTTTCTTTCCACTGTCGCCTTCATGCTTGTTCAAGATGAGAGTTCTGTGATGGAGTTAAACTCAAAGCTGCTCCTCAGATCAATAATGTTAAATTACAGGTGCTTGTCATAAAATTAGAATATCATGAAGAAGTTGATTTATTTCAGTAATTCCATTCAAAAAGTGAAACTTGTGTGTGTGTGTATATATATATATATATATATATATATATA